GGGGGAAAACAAAGAAAAGCTTTCATATTATGGTCTCTGATGTGTTAGATCCTATTTACAAATCGACACTCATTTGCTTGTTTTCCCCACAGGATTTGTGTGCCTGGCTGGAGGAGGAAGACCCTGCTCAGGATGAGTGGAAGTGAATCCTCGAGGAAACTGGATTCCATTATCTGATGGGAACTTCACATTTGCCACTGCCCAAGTCATCTGTGCAGAACTGGAGTGTGGCAAAGCAGTGTCTGTTATGCGGAAAGTGCCTTTTAAAGAGATCATCCCACAGGTGTGGGCTGAAGAGTTTCAATGTGAGGGACAGGAGCCTGAGCTCTGGTTCTGCCCTAGGGCACCCTGTCCTGGAGGTAGCTGCCAGAACAATGGAGCTGTTGAAATTGTTTGTTCAGGTGAGATTCACAGCTAGTGTTTAGCCTCTCTGGAAGGCCTGTAGCTAAGAAGAAAGAGATGTTGCTGAAACCTGTTTTCTCCTTCCAGAGTTCAGCGAAGTCCGGCTCAGGAAGAACAGCACCTCCCACTGTGAGGGTCAGGTGGAGGTGAACACCTCTATGGGATGGAGAATGCTCTGTGCCTCCCAGTGGAGTATGGTCAATGCCCATGTTGTATGTCGCCAGTTGAGCTGTGGAGTCGCTATCTCCACCTCAAAAAGAGGAGCATACTTTGTGGATGGTGGTGGTGAGGTTCAGAAAGTCCGATTTTACTGCTCGGGGTCCGAGTCCTTCCTATGGAGTTGTCCTGTAATTGCCCTGGGTGTTCCTCCCTGTGCCCATGGGAACACAGTCTCTGTGGTCTGCTAAGGTAAGAGAGCAGTCTAGGTGACTGAGTTTCTGGATGCTCCTGGAGTGACAGGTCGCATCGTACAGTACAGAGAACTGATTTCAAGTTGAAATGTTCTGTAGTGAATGATAGCTCTGTACACTGAACAGTCCTCTTTCAGTCCAGATAAAGGAGTACTAACAGAAATATTTTTAAAGACATTGTTACCAGACATAGGCATGCCAGACTGATTAAGCATTTAAACATTAACTCTTACTTTCACTAAACTTTAATCTTTTCATCTTTTAGCTGTTGAATTATCATTTCATGATTCCTTATTCTTTTCAAGAGCTCTCTCCTTTCCTAGTCACTAGCTGCAATGATATCTTCATGGTCTGAAATTCTGTCTTTAGTTTCATTTAAACAGTTTTGCCAGCTTTCAGTGGCATTTTTATGCTACCCCCATATCTTCCTTGAATTTATTTCATGCATTCTATTTCTTTCCTATATTTCTTTTTCCCCCTGTATTTTAGGAAAGGGTTTACAGGGTGTTCTGTGTCCCACTAGTAGATTGAACTTGCAGTGATACTCCGGTTAACAGCCTCCCAAGTGCTGGGATTACAGGTGTGCACCACACCCAGTCTCAATTGTTGTCTCAGTGCACCCTGGGTTGGGGCTGGCACAGCAGGCCCAGGGATCAGACTCCCAGCCCCTGCACCTGGTTCCAACCACTTTAATCCACTGAGCTATTTGGATGGCCATTTCCTATATTTCTTGTTTATGTTTTCCATCATTTTTCTGTTCATCTCTATTTTTTTATCAGTGTTTTCTTTAGATACATTCAATAATTCTTTCATGATAATTATCATTTATCTTTTACCTGAGAGATTACCTCTGATCTGATTTCTGCTATATACCTGGGGAGAGTTGTTTCTTTACTTCAGTTACAATGATTTCACAGATTTCAGGTGTCTGACTTTCAATTACCTCTACACTGATATCTACTGTATTTGTTCTGGGTGGGCTGGGGGCATCAGATTGCATTTTGTTTCTTAACCTTGTCATTTTCTACTTCATAAAGAACATTTTATTTTTATTTCTGTGCTTTTTTGTGAAATTTTATAGTAGGTAGCTCAGTCACTGCAATCAGAACCTCTCTGTAGAATCTGTTCTTCAGTAATCTCTCTTTTGTGTCAAGTGTCAGGGATTCTTGGTTTGTGTCCGTCCTAAGATCTTGCCTTTTCTATTTTTTATATTTTTTACATATTTAGTACAGAGTGCACAGGCTCTAAATACACAGATTGGACTTGTAGTGATCCTTCTGTTTTCAGCCTCTCAAGCACTGGGATTACAGGCATGTGCCACCATGCCCAGTCTCATTTTCAGTCTCAGTGCACCCTGTGGGTGGGGCTGGCACTGCATGCTGGGGATGGAACCCAGGTCCCTGTGTTTGTCTAAGCAGGTACTTTAATCTGCTGAACTCTCTGTCTGGCTCTTGCTTTCTCTATTGATTGAGAGTGGAATGTTAGTTTCTGTTTGGGACTGTCTTTTGTCTTCACTATTAGGCTTTTGTGAGGCTACTACTCTAGAACTTCCTCATATTACTACCTGTGAGAGAACATGTGTTTAAGCCAGATATGGTATCCTAGTTACAGTAGTAAAGTTAATACTAATTACAATGAGAAATTAATTAATTAATTAATTAATCGCACTGGGGATTGGACTCAGAACTTTGCACTTGCCAGATAAGCGCTTATTCTGCTGCTTAGGTAAGCTTAGGAAAGCATGCAGGGACCATGGTTTTATCCCTGGCATTACATGCCATGCCAGCCCTGCCTCCAGGGTGAGCTGAGCTGGCCAAAACAAAATATCATCTTTTAAATTTTTTCATGGATTTTTTTGGTAATTAATTTGAGATATACAAAATATGGGAATAATTTAAAATCATTTTTGAATATTTGTCCACATTTCCCAATGTTAGCATGTTGCACATTTTCTGCCTTACTTCTGCAAATAATAAAACATTTCTGAGTGAATAGTAAAAACAGGTGGGTGATACGACCATTCAACCTTAAAAGAGAAAAGCTAGGCATAGACAAAGAAATTTTCATGTAGAAAATGAGCTCTGAAGGCAGGTAATTATTTCTTCTGTATCACAGATGCCATTCAACATGCCAGAACTATACCATCATTAATGCAACTCAGTTTCCTGTCCCTCCCACTCTCTCTGCAGGGAGTCAGACCCAGCTGCTGCCCCAAAGCAATGACTCCCAGTCTGACCCAGCAAGCCCTGCAGCCTCAGAGGGCATGGATGCCAAATCATCAGGTGAGGATATCCCCAGGACACAAACTGCTCCTTCCAATGTTATCACCATTGAGCTGACTCTGTTTCTCCTCAGATATCAGACAGCTGCGCCTCATGGATGGGGACAGTCACTGTTCAGGGAGAGTGGAAGTCCTGCATCAGGGCTCCTGGGGCACCATCTGCGATGACAACTGGGACCTGAGAGATGCCCACGTGGTGTGCAGACAGCTGGGCTGTGGAGTGGCCCTCAATGCCACGGTGTCTTCTCACTTTGGACAGGGATCAGGGGACATCTGGCTGGATGAGTTGAACTGCACAGGAGAGGAGACTCATGTGTGGAAGTGCTCTTCCCAGAGCTGGGGGCAGCATGACTGCTGGCACAAAGAGGATGCAGGGATCATCTGTTCAGGTCTGTGCTCACACAGCCCAGGCTTGAATGGAGAGAGAAGATCTCCAGGATGGTATCTGAGTCCTAGAGTTAGGTTAGAAGAGTTGACTAAGGGTCTAAAAGAGAAGAGGATCATTCCCACAGCTTGTTTTTCTAGGAAAGGAGAAGGTGACATGCTCTCACTTCCTCCTGCATCAACTGAAGGTCATTCTTTCCTTTTCAGCTGTCTCAGCATCTCTCAACACTGCCATTTCTACAGTGTCCATTTAACAGAAGACTCATCATTCCATTACCCATGGGTTCAAATCTTGGAGTGGAACATTCTTTTTTCCTGTTCTTACTATAATAACACATATCAGTGGCTTCAAACAACAGAACCAATTATCTGATAGTCCTGTAGATACAGTCTTGTATTAGGTGGGATTAATAGCAAGATGTCTGTAGGACTACATTTCTTGAGACTCTAGGAAAGATGGTTTCCTCTCTTTTCCAGACTCTAGAACAAACTCTTTTTCTGGTTCCTGCTTCTCTCATTCTTCTAATAAAATACATTGAAAATGGGGAAACATATCCATGATCACATCTTCTGACCAGTCCGGAAAGGTGACCTACTTTTAGAATGCAGTTCTTGGGGTACACCTGGCTAATTCTCGGAAACGCAACATAATCTTATGAAAAGATCTTTATTTTAACCCTGATTTAAATGCCTCTTTGTCATATGAGGCAAAATATTGATAGGCACAAGGATCAGAATGTGGGCACATTCAGAGCTCTACCATTCTAACTTCCTCAGTGGCCATCTGCATCCATTTTTACAGGGTCTATGAGATGTTCATTCAGTAAATATGACTCAGGTTTCTTCTCTTCAGACACCTAGTTCAGATACATACTTGTGTCTATGCCATCACTGTGGCAGAAAACGAAAGATTGGTTCAAGTTTACAAATCAAGTATCAAAGATGGAAGCTTCAGTCTTCCCACATAGTGGAAGCTTTTTCAATAGAATACCAATGAACATTCACCACTTAGTTTAAAGAAAAAACAGAGCACTAAGTGTTGGCTTCTCACTGTGTCCTGCTCCCTTCCTTCTTGTTTCAGAGTTCCTGGCCCTCAGAGTGGTGAGTGAGGACCAGCAGTGTGCTGGGTGGTTGGAGGTTTTCTACAATGGGACCTGGGGCAGTGTCTGCCGCAGCCCCATGGAAGACATGACCTTGTCAGTGATCTGCAGACAACTTGGTTGTGGGGACAGTGGAACACTCAATACTTCTGTACCTGCCAGGGAAGGTTCTAGACCTCACTGGGTGGATGGAATACAGTGTCAGAAGACTGATGTTTCTCTCTGGCAGTGTCCTTCTGACCCTTGGAACTTCAGATCTTGCCTTCCAAAGGACGAAGCTTATATGACATGTGCAGGTGATCTACTACTTCCTTGTGTCCATCTCTATCCTTCTGTCAGTCCAGAGGGTGAAAAGTCACACTTCAGTTACATAAATCACTTTAAATCTGCTATCATTCTGTTGGCTTTTTATCCTTGCAATACACTGCCATCCAGTAATGGTGTTTATTTAATTCAAATGAGTAAGCTAAGGCTAGAAAAAATTAAATACAAGTTCAAAACCTTATATTACATTATGATCAGATTGGGCAGTGTAAGTCTACTTGATCCATCCTTTTAAAAATTAAATTTACTTTTCTTAAAATGAATACGAAATACTTAAAAAGCACTAGAACTGATACAAAATTTCACGAATCAAAGTAATAATTAAACAATGATTGCTGTATTGAATGACACTATCTTCAAATTACTTGTTTAGGTTACCAGATATAAATTTTGCAAAATTAGTTAATAAAAAACAAAACAAAATAAAAAAACTGAGAAAACAAAAAAGAAAGTAGTGAAAAAAATATATTACAAATAGGCAGGATAATTTGGATAATTGTACTGCTGATTTCTGTTGGCGTTTTAAAAGATGCAGTGATCAAAAAACAAAAAACAAAAAAATAAAAGATGCAGTGAATCTGCAATTTTTTTCTTCTTATTTGTTTTTGTTTTTTACTTTGATCCATATTTTAAAGTTGTGTTTATTTATTTTAAAATACATCTGCAGAATTGAAACACCTCCTGAGATAAATATTTTGAAGAATGAAATTCAGAACCTTGTAAAAATAAGTTAATTTCAGGCTAGACCACAGAATGAAATATAGTCACTTTTACGGTGTTTACTCTGAAGTGCAGACAATGTATACTAGGCCAAAATTTGAAAGTTAAGAATGGAAACTGCTATACATGCACGCATGGCAATGGATAATGGAATGAAAATTCATGCTTAGGTTGAACACTGAAGGTTTCATTCAGGGAAGAAAGTAGAGATCACTTGGTCAGTGTAAATACTGATGAGAGGACATTATGTCTCTAATATACTAAAAGAAATCCTTCAAAGCCAGAGCAGAAGGAACAGGCCAGAGTCACATAAGGTTATCTAAAAGGGTGGCCACACAGGGTAGAATCTTTTAAACAAAGACCCAATAACAATAACATTACTGGTGCAGAGACGTTTATTTGTTTATGATGTTTTCCACTTCATAACCAGAAAGGGTAGAAAAGTTGGGGAACTGGTTTCCCCACATTTTCATATTGAGTTTATCTTAGGAGTACCAAACTTCTGGGTTGCAACTTCATCTCATTTTAATATTCTAAGCTAATAGTCCCCCTCACACAACATATTCTATGGTGCCTTGCCTGAATTTCAAGCCTTTCATATTACAATTTTTTTATACATGAAATATTCCCATAATGCCATGTTCTGCTGAATCTGTTCTCTGAAAACATGAGACCTCAATCAATTACATACAAATGAGTCAACATCTTGGCTTTTGAATACATTGAATTTGTCATTTCTTAATTACCTATCTTCTATTCCATCTCAATCTATGTCTACATAATTGACCAACAGTAGATGGGGCGCTTTTGAGATCTTGCTCTGTACTTTATTTCTTATTCTACTTATAACACAACTTCTTAATCTTTACCTTATCTTTGTCCTGACCAATATTCTGTTGTTCACATTTTTTCAGGTTTGTACATAATGCTCTAAATCTTATTAGAGAAGATAGTTAGACACTTAGAATCCTATTCCTAATGGAGAATAAATACAAATCACTTCCCTTGTCTTGTCTAGTGAAATATAGAAAGAATTAAAATCATCTACCTAGCATTTCCTTGCCTGTAGTAGATGTGAAAGGACTAGTAAATAATGCCTAACTGTTGCATAATTATTTTTGAATAATGTCTAAGTTGATTGCAATAATTTTTTATTCATGGGTTCAGACTTGTTCATTCCACACTGTCTCCAATTTCTAGCATGATTCTCTGACTTGCACACTTGAAAGAAGCGTGATAGTTTACATTAGATTCTCTGCTTTGTAAACCCAGTTCTTTTAAACAAAGCATCCACTCATAAACGGTGCTTTTGATTCAAACTTATTGGGAGAATAAAATTTTCAACTGCAAACTTTCTCTTCTGACAAATTTAAAAATTTGCGTCTTCTGCCCATTGCCTTCCATCAGCAATCAACTACTTGAATTTTTTTTAATCTCTGTTTAATGTTACTCTACCTTATTGAATACTGTTCTCATATGTTCTTAATGAACTTCTACTTGTTTGCTCAAGTTTTAAATTTAGACATTCTCTGGTATGAGCCTCATACTCTGCTGTTCCATAGCAACACTCTTTTCTTATAAGATCTTGCTGAGATGCACAGGCTTAATGATTACCATCACAGTGAAACCTCTTAGATACAAACCTCCAAAGCCCAACTCTGTCCTGGATTCCAAACTTATGCACTTCACTGCAAATTTCTATCTTCACTTAAGTATCTAATGGGCATGTAAAATTTACTCTTCAATATACAATGCTTAATTCCACACATACAACCTCTGCTTCTAACTTCCTTTAAGCTATAGTCCCATTTAAGCTAATGCCATTTTTCTTCCGCAGTACTTAGGCTCAGTCCTTCTTGACTCTTTTTTTTCTGTCTCCCTCCAATTTCCAAGTTAATTGTGTTTCCTTTTTTTCTATAATTTTATTGAGAAACAAATACAAATGAGACAGGTTCAAACCAAATTCGTAGTACAGTTTCAGTAATTAACACATTGCATACATTCTTCCCAGTGGTTAACTGCTGTACAAGATGAGGACTTGATATCCTATTTAAAAACACCATTAGAACAAATCCCTCTATTCATTAAGAGAATGAAATTATATATGTATCCTAACCACTTTGAATACACAGATAAAAAAATGGACATTCATCTGTATCCCATTTTTCGTTAAATTCCATCATTTAAATATTATAGGTGTATAAACTCAGCAAAATATTCTGAGTTCAGAGTTCCAAAATAGTACTGCGTCTTCTGCTTCACTGACAATGTCAGAAATTGTTCACCTGAGTCCCCTACAGCTCAACATAACAGCATGGCCTTACTTCCTATATTTCATTTTTATACTTTTCTGCAGCTTGGTTAAGACCAAGGTAAAGCAGGACCCATGCAACAAGAGTTATAGCTTTTGGGTCAGAGAAGGTCAGTGAAAACCCCTCAGGATTTATCCTCAGATCCTATACCTCAGATTATAGAACCTTTGTCAGTGTTAGCCATGTGGATGAGTCACAGCAATTGCGTGGCCAATGTGCTTTCTCTGAAAGCCTGAGAGAATGTTTTCTTTCCATGTGACTCTCCTTAGGCACACTCTACATCATTTATCACTTTCCTCTTTGTCCCCATAATCTCCTTGATCAGAAAATTTGGGACACTACCGAGTTACATGATGTTACAGTAAAGTTTCATGTCCTGAGTCTTAAGTGACATTGGGAGGCTAGGGCCAAAATTTTGGCTTACCTTACATCTCTCTGTTTTCTCTAATTTTGGTCTGCAAACTTCAGTTGTTAACCATCCAGCAGACAAGCTCATTGTTATTATCATACAACCTAGGCTGTTAAGCTTAAACCCACTATCTGTCCAAATATCAAACATCTTACGAATAACATGGAATAGGTATTTTTCAGCAAGTACTGATATGTAGAAATGTAAGTCCCTATAGAATATGATGAAAAGACATTTAAAAATTAGAATATATTTTTAAAAATAGGCATTAAGAATTATAAACTTCTTGTGTTTACACATAAATCAAAAAATATAACCATATACAATCTTGAAGCAGGACAGTCCCACAATATTCCTTTTCCAATCTCTTAACTTCATTCACCACCCCCTTCTTTTTGAACAATCATCTACCTGAGAGACAGAACAACAGCAACTGGCATATTATGACAAGCAGCCCATATTCAAAAGACGAGAATGACAGGCACTCCAAGCATGAAAGTATTATTACAGATGACCATCTTCATTGCAGTTGCTTAGTTCACAGGTGTCAAAATATATAGTTAGTCAGAGTGAGAATCTTTCCAATTAGCTGCTAGATTCAAAAATCTGGATATACTCAGGATCATTGCCTTGCCCATCTTCTACGTATAACTATATGGCTTGATGTTGTCATGATTCTTAGCTTTTCTCCTTTCCTTCTCTTGATTACTTAGTCCTCAAGATCCTGCTTTCCTTTTACTTGTACTATACATTTCTATTTGTATTTCTTCTTTTGAGTTCTTATGCTAGGGAAACTATAAAATATTTATGCATGTGTGTCTGGTTTGTTTCACTTATGAGTATATGTTCAAGTGGCAACCACTTCAATAAAAAGGCTATGAGTTTAACATTATTTATCGCTGAGTAATACACCATTGTGCAAAAATACCACATCTTTTTCAACCATTCCTCAGGTGATGGGCATCTTGGTTGTTTCCAAGATTTGACTATCACACACTGTGCTGCTATAAACATAGGCACACATATATCTCTACGATATGATGTTTGCAGATCCTCTGGGAAAATTTCCAGTATAGGAATAGCTGGTTTAAATGGGATTTCCTGTCCAAATTTTCTAAGCAATTTCCATAGTGATTTCCATAACTGTTGCACCAGTTTACATTCCCACGAGCACTGGAGAAGGGTTCCTTTTTCCCCACAGCCTCTCCAACATTTGTTGTTGGTTGATTTGTTTATGATAGCCATTCTTTCTGGGGTGAGATATTATCTCAAAGTTTTTTTAAATTTGCATTTCGTGAATGGCCATTGATGTGGAGCAATTTTTCATATATTTATTTGCTTCTTTAATTTCTTCCTCTGAGAAGTGTGTGTTCATCTCAGATGCCTATTTCTGCATTGGGTCTTTAAATTTTGGGGCCATATTATTTTTTAAATCTTTATAAATTCTAGAGAGCAGACGTTTGTCTGAGTAATTATCTGTCATGATTTTTTCCAAATTTGTGGGTTGCCTTTAAACTCTGCTGGTAATTTA